CCAAGAACATGTGCTATGTAAAGCCAAATGGAAATTAATAGTAGAACTGCTACATGTTAGGGAATCAACAACATTGTTATTACGGTCCGTCTCTGTTACTGGTGTTAATGAAGTAGAATAATGATGTACATGTAGACATGGGTGGTAGTTTTCACCTCACGGGAATATTCAGTTGAAGGAGAAGGGAGAGGCTGGATCCAGATTAAAGATTTGCAACTGCTGATGAGGCTGGTAATATCAATAACTTAATGCAGAGGTTTATGGTTTCTAAAATGCTTTAACACATTTTTTTTAATGTGCTAAATGGTAGAGGTTCTTTTTAATTTTAATTTGAGTTTTTAGTTTTGAAAATCTCAAATACTCGGAAGAGTATATAACAGATCCTTATGTGTGTAACTAGTTGCCTTCAGAATTTAACAGGTGTTAATTTTGTTGTATTTGCTTCAGGTTTTTTTTCTCTCTTCCTCTTTAAAGCAATAAAACATCTCAGATACATTCAACTTTCTTGCCCTCTCTGCTCCCCAGGTAAATATTATCCTGAAGTTGATGTGTATCATTCCCATACATGCTTTTGTACATTTACAGCAGATGAGGTATTCATAAACAATATGTACTGTTGCTTGTATGTCTTTATATTTGACACACATAGTATCTTTGGTATATCCTTTTTTCCCCTTTTTTCTTTTTTTTCTTTTTTGAGACGGAGTCTCACTCTGTCACCCAGGCTGGAGTGCAGTGGTGTGATCTCAGCTCACTGCAAGCTCCACCTCCCGAGTTCATGCCATTCTCCTGCCTCAGTCTCCCAAGTAGCTGGGACTACAGGCGCCCGCCACTTGCCTGGCTAATTTTTTATATTTTCAGTAGAGATGGGGTTTCACCGTGTTAGCCAGGATCTCGATCTTCTGACCTCGTGATCCACCTGCCTTGGCCTCCCAAAGTGCTGGGATTACAGGTGTGAGCCACTGTGCCTGGCCTTCCCCTTTTTTCTTAAACTTTGTTTTTGAAGTTTATCTGTATTAATAAAGGGAGACCTGATTTGTTCTTATTTTTTTTTTTTCTTGAGACAAAATTTTTCTGTTGTTGTCCAGGCTGGAGTGCAGTGGCATGATCTCAGCTCACTGCAACATCTGCCTGCCAGGTTCAGGTGATTCTCCTGCCTTAGGCTCCTGAGTAGCTGGGATTACAGGCATGTGCCACCACACCCAGCTAATTTTTGTATTTTTAGTAGAGACAGGGTTTTGCCATTTTGGCCAGGCTGGTCTGAAACTCCTGACGTCAGGTGATCCACCTGCCTTGGTCTCCCAAAGTGCTGTGATTACAGGCATGAGCCCCCGTGCCCAGCCTGATTTGTTCATTTTAACTAATTTAATGTAATGTAAGTGGTGACCCCTGTAGCTGTGTAACACATCTATTATTTGTAATATATTATTTAATTGTGTGAATAAAACATTCATTGCCACAGCGAACATCTGTGCATATGCATCCTTGTGCATATAGCAAAGAGGGTTTTGGGATTGATAACTGGACTGAAATTGCTAGGTTACATACTTTCCTTCAATTTGCGTATATTTTGCCAAATTGATCTAAAAGGTACTGTATGACTTACAGTATTGTATTGGGTAACGCTTACTACTATTTGACATATTACATGTTTACTTGTTTATTTGCTGCCTGGATGCCCATTGTAAGCTTAACAATGGCAGGGATTTTTGTCTCTTTTGTTCTTTTCTTTGCCTGGCATAGAATAGGCAGTCAGTAAATGTTTATTAAGTGAATGGATTATTTCATGGATTTGATCTTCTCAAAGCTTTGGAGTAGGTAGACCAGATAAATAGGCTGTAATGCCTGTTTTCTTATGCCCCTTTCTCAGATAAGGAAACTGAAACACAGAGACCAACTGACTTTTTTGGGTTACACACCCAGATATGATTTCTCGTCTTTTGGCTTTGTCCAAGCTTGTTTTAAGGTATGTGTTAAGATTTATAGTTCATCTAAAAGATACTATAAATTCTTTGTACTCAGAATCTGACAAAACTAGTTTTCCAACCCTCAAATATTTGTTAAATACTAGTGTATGCCTGGCATTTTGAAATTTTCAAAAAACAGGGAGGTCTTAGCTGGCTAGACTTGAGGTTTACATTTTTGTGCACTTCATGGCACTTGGTGCTTGGCATATAGTTGAGGCACCGCTTGTGTTTGTGGAATGAATGAGTTCTTTTGCTTTGGAGTCTTTCACTCTGGCTGTCTCTGTGGGAGACCTGTGGGCAGTAAAGAGTTATCTAGAAAATGCCAAAGGAGAAGGCATAAAGAATGTATAGGCCTCAAAGTGTGCTTTCCTAGAAGGCAGCGGGTCTTGTGTTAAGAGACCAGGGTAGAAGAGAAAAGGTCTTGGGGAAAGTTCTTGTAACCAGAGTTAACTTAGTTGAAAATATATCTAATACACATACTGAAAACTATAGTTTAGCCTATCTTAAATGTACTATGAACACTTATATTAGCTTACCATTGAGCATTTGGCCAAAATCATGTAACACAAAGCCTGTTTCATAGTAAAGTGTTGACTAGCTCATGTAATTTATTGAATGCTGTACTGAAAGTGAAAAACAGAATGGTTCTATGAGTACTTGAAGTACAGTTTCTACTGAATGCATATGGATTTCTCTCACCATTGGAAAGTCGAAAAATAAATTGGACCATTTTAAGTCAGGGACCATCTATATCTTAGGATCTCCCTGGGGGCTGGGGATGTCTTACAACTTTTAGCTCCTATAATAAATTGGAAGAAAAGAAATTTAGTGTAGGTCAAGTACTGAGCCAAGTACTTTATGGACATTATCTCATTAACTTTGTCTACAATCCCATTAAGTAGGTTGTAGTATGCACATTTTACAAGTAAGGAAACTGAACCATCTAATAAACTAGTTAAGTTACTTAGCTTTTGAGCTGGAAAGTTGAACCTAGATCCACCTTACTGAAATCTCTGCTCCTTTCCTAGACCAGTTTTTCTCTGGAGCGGAAGGAAAGGAAGGTCTGATTGGTCTGACATATGCAGAAATTAAAAAAAAAAAAAGACTCACAGAAGTAAATTCTCAGAGAAACTCTACAGCAGTAGTAGTCATATTAAACAGCTATCTCTCTTGCCCCTAAGTTGATCAGTTTCAGGATTTTGGTTTGCTTGTACATCATTCATAAAATTCAAGTGCAGCTTAAAGTTTCCATAGTTCCAGGTTTGTTCACTGGAGGAGTGAAGGCCTGGTACCTGCCTAGAGAACTTCATATTGTAATGTCAGATTCTTTGTTAATTAAATGATTTGCAGTAGCCTGAGTTTCTTTCCCATGCTGTCTTCGCTTATTTCTTGCTATAGTTTGTGATGGCCATAAGATGGTGCTGCAGTTTTGAAGTCAGCCTTAAGGATAAGGCTTAGGGGAGGAACACCTACTGCAGTTGTGAGGCAGATGGGACATCAGGAGGGTCTTAGAAGGGATTGTGTAAAAGCTGTTGCTTTAGGGCTTCTTGTTGCTTTCCTTTTGTGGTCTTTTTTTTTTTTTTTTTTTTTTAAAGGTCTCCAGGAAAGATAGTTAAGGCTATGCTAGTGTAAGTCTGGATGGCTTGCATGGAACCAGGCAGGCTGCTGCTTTCTGCTGTGTGGCCTGGATCCTTTTGGTGTAGAATAAATAACTGCAATAGGAAAGAAACACGTATATAATTTTATTCTCCATTCACAGCCCTTTGGATTGTAGTCTTTTCCCATATAGCAGACACTATAATAAAAAAAATTGGGGTGGAGGAATGTTCACTGATATCATAAGGTGATTTTTGAATCCAACTTTTACAATCTGAAATTCAGACTTCCTGCCCTACTGCAATGGGAGTAAAAACCACCTGAGCCTCTTTTTAGCAGCTTCTTCTCTTACTCCCAAATGGCAACAAGTGTTATCTCTTTGATTGAGCTCTTGGTCCATGCAGTCTAATTACCAATTCAGAACAGTGGGAGAACTTCTTATTTTACACAACTGGCAACTGAGTACAGATTTCCACTCCTGCAGTAGTTAGAAGAGAGTAGTTGGGGTTGAAATTAAAAGTCTTAAAGTTAACAGAAGTTCATGTTCTGACTTTGTCACTTACTAGCTGTGTAACCTTGGGCTATTAATCAACTTTCTTAAACCTTAGTTTCTTTTTTCTTTTTTGGAGACAGTCTTGCTCTGTTGGCCAGGCTGGAGTGCAGTGATATGTGATCTTGGCTCACTGCAACCTCCACCTCCCGATTCAAGCAATTCTCATGCCTCAGCCTCCTGAATAGCTGGGACTAAGGGCGCACGCCCCTGTGCCCAGCTAATTTTTTGTATTTTAGTAGAGATGGAGTTTCACCATGTTGCCTAGGCTGGTCTTAAACTCCTGAGCTCAGGCAATCCGCCTGCCTTGGCCTTCTAGAGTGCTAGGATTATAGGCGTGAGCCACTGTGCCTGGCCAAACCTCAGTTTCTTTACCCATAAAATATAAAATAATAGTTTTGACCTCATATAGTGACTATAAGAATTAAATGAGAAAGTCCATGTAAATAACTTTGCACAGTGCTTGGCACACAGCAAGTGCAAAAAATATGTTAGATATTACCAGTGGCAGCATCAATAATTACTATTGAACATTTATGTCAAATATTGTTCATCAGAGACCCTGTTCATCTGTTGTATTTAGAAGTGGTATTCTTTTTACCAAGCACTCATATACTATACTCAAAACCAACTTCCAGATTTTCCTGGCTGTGTCATTGGCTGGCAGACTTAACAGATCTTTCTTTTCTTTTATAGGAAAAAGGAGGGAAATAAATGCTCCAGAAGGCTAGATCTTTAAAGTGTGTGTTCCTTTTCTTAACTGTAAGAAGGCGGCTCTGGTTTCTTCAGGTTATAATTTGATGAAAATAATTTTATTATTTTCTGACCTGAAAAAATTCAGAATATGTATATCTGCTTGATATTTTCTTTTGGGCATCTTGGTGCAACACTTCAAATCTATTTCATTTTGTAGTTTGGGAGCCATAATTGCAGCTTCACCAGCCTTGGTTCTTCTTGGCCTGGCCCTTCCCTTCCCTTGCTGGTTAGTACCAGCTAAGCTGGTTTGCTTTTTCCCTCTTTGATACTATTCTCCTCTTCCTTCTTCCACGTTACCTTCTGCCACGGCCTCTCTTCTTTTTCCCTCGCTTTTCAATTTACTCTTACATTTTCCCTCCTCCTCCTGGCCCTGCCTAGTTTCCCCTCCCCTGGTTTCTAGCTCCTTTTTGCTTTCTGTTTGTGTTACTGAGGGCAGTGCTCCAATTACCTCATATTTGGAGAGAGGAAGCTGCAGCCAATCCGGTTTCTGTCTGCTTTTAGGTCAAGTGATTTCTGAACTGCAGTGAGATGCTTTGAATTTGTCTTGTTGCAGCTCTGAGCCTGTAAGATGGCTGTCTGAATCGGCAGCGGCTGGAAGAGACAGAGAGAGGCGGGGAGGGAGGGAGAAAGAATTGGAGGGATTGCCGGCATAGTGCATGTTTTTAAATGTACGTTGAATCCGATGAAGCCAAGGTTGGGATTTCTGTGGGATCCCAGGACTGGCTTAGCTGCGTTTTTGCTGAGATTAGGAGAGGAAGGAAATGGGAAATTCACTGGGCTGTTTTAAGGAGCCAAAAGAGTCAATAGCTGTTCCTGAGAAGGCTCCCATATCTCCTAAGAAAAGGGTTCGGTTCAAAAGGAGGTGGAGAGGGAAGAAAATCCCTACTCCAGAGGCATCTCACCAGGAAGAAACCTCGGAAGGAACTGAAGTCATTGAAGAGACTGAAACCCTAACGAAGTTAACAGTGAGTCTCCAAAAGGAAGACGGAGTGGGAGGGGTAAAACATACCCCCCCAGATATTTTGCTGCCTAGGGACTCAGCCCCCAACTCGCAGGTAGTCGATCAGGGGATGATAGTACAGGTAAAGGAGAGATTCCAAGGGGAGGTCCAGACTGCCCACCTTTTGTTAGAGAATGAGTCATCAGTTGCTGGAGGGGTCTGGGATTCCCTGGAAGAGGGGATGACTGTCATTGCTCACCTGCTTGATAACCCAGCAGAAAGGAACTGTGAGAAGTCAGTGAGCCAACTGGTGGAATTTCCTAGGACAGCATCCTGCAGCAGCAGGGCTGTGCTGCTGCCTTTGCAAGGAGAGACTGCAGTGGAGAAAGGAAATATTCAGCTTGGGTTTCGGAGCTATGCTTCGCTTAGGACAGACTGCCCCACTGATACAGGAAATCAAGAACAATTTTCAGAGGGCTGGAGTGCGGAGGAAGGAACCAAGAGTGTTTCAGATGCCCCTCAGACAGGTTCCTGGATTGCAGAATGTTCTGTTTCTTCATCACTACTGGACAAGCCTGGAGGCCAAAGATGCACGGAGCCTTCCCATGTGGGTCGAGTGCCCCTCCAGGATTCCAGACTGCTTACTTCTCAGAGTGATTTGTCTATCAGCGGCGTGACTGTGAGCATTTTGCCCTCCTCCTCTGGCTATGGCAGTGATGGGCCGCACATACACGGGATCCAGCCTAAAGATACAGAACCTGAAAAGAGCTCTACTTCCTTCTCAGAAGAGGATGGCACTCTTTCTCTGGAGGCAAGCCACACCCTATCATGGGGTCTGGAAGAGGTAGGTGGGCATGTTCAAGAGAGAATCAAACTGCTGTTTGGAATCTTGGCCCTCAAACATATTAAAGCTGAGTGTAGTGAGCAGTGAGGATGTTGGTGCCTCTCAAACTCACCCCCATGTGAGTTAGTGTCTGCTAGAGCTCAGCAAGCAGAATCTATTTAGGTCTGCCCCTTGATACTTGAAACCAAGACTTGTCTCTGGGGAATCCCTGATTCTGGGTAGCCAAGCGGCATAATTGCTCAAGCTGTCTGGTGGGATTGTCTCTCGAGGTGCAATGCTAGATAGTACTTACTCTCAGGCAGGTCTGTTTACCAGCTTCCCTGCTACGAGAAGTTGTAGTGTAGCACAAGGGACGATGGGGAAGGGCCTACCTGAATCTCTGGAATAAATCTCTGGAATGAATGTGGAAGGGGTCAGGCAGCTATTGTCAGTGTATTTGCTCTTCCCCACAGGAGAGTGATGTTCTTACTAGAGCTGATGCAATCCCGTCCCCATAGGGAAATTTCTGACGGCAACCCTCATTCAGTATTTGTATAGGTGGAGAGGGCTCATCCTTCTTTGGTTCCTGATTCCAGGATTAGAGGAGAGGGACAGAGTTATCTGGGGATTAGTCGAGAGAGAGAGAGGGAGGTTAGGGCAATTTGAAGGTTTAAGGCTAGAAAAGTTTTTTTGTGTGTGATTGGACGTATTTAGGGCTTTAATGTGATTTTGTTTTGAGGAATATATTGCATGGATGGTGCTGCTGCTGGTGGTGGTAATGGCAGTTGCTGTGAATGTTTTAAAGGTCAAGGAGCAAGTGAGAATTCAGAGATCTGAACACTGAGATGAGGACTCAGCAATACCATGGGTAGCACAGCATCTGGTATGTAGGCGTGTGATTGTGTAGGTGATCAAAGTTATAATTCACCAATGGCTAAAGAACTTTTACTGGCATGTTGGCCTCTGCAGCAGAAGAAATAAAAACATTAGGACCTCAAAGTGCAAAAGGTATAAAATGAGGTAGGGCACTTTCCTTGCCTAGATGTGGGCCACTGATACTGTACAGGGGCTCTGATGTTTGCAGAGCAGGGGTATGGTCCACCTACTGGTGCCCTGCTTATCACTAGCAGCATGAGGCTGAGGATAGATACAAATTCTAAGCTAATCTGTGCCTAAAATTTCCTCTTTGGGGATAAATTTTCCCCACAGACAGCCTCATCTTAATGCCCTCTGTTATTAGAGTTTGGAGACTCCCAACAGTTCGAAGAAAAAGTGGCCATTGAAAAATGTCTATTTTATGGATGGGCAAGAGGTTTCTTGGGCCTCATATAAAAATGGGTATGTGTGTGGGGGAATGTGATAGTTGTGTTATGGTAGGAAGGACGGCAGTGAAACTACTGGGATATGGGGTACATGAATGTATTAAGTTATTCTCGCATTGCTATAAAGAAATAACCTGAGGCTGGGTAATTTACAAAAGTAAAGAGGTTTAATTGGTATACGGTTCTGCAGGCTGTACAGAAAGCATGATGCTGGCATCTGCTCAGCTTCTGAAGAGGCCTCAGGAAACTTACAATCTTGGTGGAAGGCAAAGGGGCAGTAGGCATGTCACTTGGCTAGAGCAGGAACGTGAGGTTGTGGACGGGATGTGCCACACACTTTTAAATGACCAAATCTCACGAAAACCCACCTACCCTCACGAGAACAGCACCAAGGGGATGTTGCTAAACCATTCATGAGAAATCCACTTTCATGATTCATGATCCAGTCATCTCCCACCAGGCCCCACTCCCAATATTAGGGATTACAATTCAACATGAGATTTGGTAGGGACACAGATTGAAACCATATCAATGAGTATTTGGGTTTCATCAGATAAAAAAGAATGTCAAAGTAAACTTTTATCTTGTAAATGTTGGAACAGATAGAGTAGTTGGGGGTAAAACCAACTGTGGAACTGATTGTTGTACAACTGGCATTAAAATTGAAATTGTGTAGTCATCATAACATTATAGGACACATGCTTGTAACTGAGTGTGAGATTTTCAGAAATTTGGCATGTAAAGTGAACTCCTAGTAAAATCAATCCTAGATAATGGACCGTAGATAGCAATGGCACCTTTGGGGCTGGATCTCCACACTGGCAAGGGAATGTTCTGCATGAGTCTCTGAAGAATCTTAAAGAAAAGATTGGTAGGAGAAACCTTTGGACCATGATCTGTAGTGTGACCGTATTGGCAGCAGTATGATTCCTTTGCTGTTCAGTATGATTCAAATTGGCATGTGGCATTTTCTGGGTAGCCAACCTCTCCATCTATTCCTTCTACCTTTTCACTGCAGACACAGTTATACTACTTACATATAGCCAAGGCTGAAAAACTAAGTGACCGAGTCTCAGCTCAGACACCTGGCATATTTCCAGGTTTTGTGTCCATCGTGTGATACAGGGACCACAGACTCACCATCCTATATGACAGATAAGTAACTTCTCAGTGTGACATTCCTTCAGAATGAAAGTCCTTAAGGCCAAGAGGCCACAACTCTCACTAGTCTCTGAAGGAACTGTCTTCAGGGAGCTGCTCCCCTCCCTAACAGGCTGTTCACAAGCTTGAGGACAGTAGCAGCCAGAGAGACAGAGAGGGCAACGCATACTGAAACCGATAGGCAGGGCAAGAGCATCTCTGCTGAAAGTGGGAGCACTGGGAGGGCACGGGTCAGAAGAGCAGCTGCTGCTGTTCACACACCAACTCCTGTCTAAACAGGAGACAGCTGGCAGTCCAATTGAATTGTTTTTTGCTTGTTTTTTTGGTGGTTGTTTTGTTTTTAATATGTCAGAGTAGTAACTCTCCTCAGAAAATAATTTGAGTTCCAACCAGTTTCTCTCTTCTGTTGATGGCTTGTTGATGAGAGTGAGACCAGGCTATGGATAGACATAAACTTCACCGTGGGTTTTGTTGCTTTTTAGGATGGAGAGAAATGGGAACTGATTCTGCTTCTTGCTAGTGTGGGGTTTAGATAGTAGAATATATATGATCTGCTTTTCCATTCACCTAGTATAGTTAATACTTCTTTTGTCAAGAAATAGTTAACACAGAAGCAAGATGACAAGGGTCAGCTGACAAATATGTTTTCAGAATGATAAGTAGACTAGGATTTGGAGCTGGATGGGAACAGGCTAATAGCAATCACTCTTTGATGTCAGACAAAGACCTTCTCTGGCCCATTTCTTCTCTCAGGACTCCCTATTCCCAACTGCTTTCATTATCCATACTACTAATACCTGGCTTATTTCAACAAGGAACATTTTTGAAAATCCCTTCCTCCTCCCCATCATGGCTTCTGCTGCCAAGCTCCTGCCCACACTGTTAGCGAATCCCGTTTAACGAAGAATTTGCCTCTATACCAATGTCCTTTTTTTTTTTTTTTTTTTTTTTTGACACGGAGTCTGACTGTCGCTGAGGATGGAGTTCAGTGGTGCAATCTCGGCTCACTGCAACCTCTGCCTCCTGGGTTCCAGCTATTCTCCTGCCTCAGCCTCCCGAGTAACTGGGATTACAGGCGCCCACCACCACGCCTGGCTATATACCAGTATTCTTGCCACAACCCTTTGAGTCTCTACAATTTTAGGTGAATAGTCAGATAACACTGGGGCCTAGAAATGATAAGAAAGAGATTGGTTGGTGTATTATCTTCTGGGCTCAGCCTTTTCAGTTTACAAGTATCCCTCTCCCAGTTTTCCTTTTTAATTATAGGGAGCGTTGTGTTACTAATACTGGCTTTGTACTGAAAGAAGAAAGCAAAATTAACCAGATGACACTATTGGGGGAATGTAGAAGGTAAAGTTACAGTTAGAGCTTTAAGAAAGGATTTTGTTTCTTTTTCAAAAAATTTTACTTAATTAAAAATGTTACTAAAGAATCATTATTTTTTAGGTGTAACAATAGTGTTGTGGTTATGTTTAAAAAAAGGCCTTTTAGAGATACATACAGAAATGTTTTTAGAGAAATATAGGAGATTTACTTCATCATAATAGGGGAAGGGTGAAGTGGGTGGAATGTAGATGAAACAGGATTAGCTATGAGTTGATAATGGTTGAAACTGGGTAATGGGTACATAGGGGCTAATTATACTATTCTGTCTCTTTTTGTATATATATGAAAATTTCCATTTCAAATAGAAAGTTAACAAAATTGTATAAAAAGAAAATGAAAGTTAAAAATAAAATTGTATAAAAATAAAATGGAAAGTTAGGCCAAAATAAGTTGTATAAAAATAAAAAGGTAATAATACTGGCAAAATTATGATATAATGCAAATACAGTTGGCTCTCTGCATTGTGGGTTCTGCATCTGTGGATTCAACCCATGATGGATGGAAAATATTCTGAAGAAAAACATTGCATCTGTAATGAACATGTACAGACTTCATTATTCCCTAAACAAGATAACAACTATTTACTAACATTTGCATTGTATTAGGAATTATAAGTAATCTAGAGATTATTTAAAGGGTCTGGGAGGATGTACATACGTTGTACTACCCCATTTTGTATCTGGGACTTGAGCATTTGTGAATACTACCCCATTTTGTATCTGGGACTTGAGCATTTGTGGATTTTAGTATCTGCAGATTTTGGTATCTGAGGAAGGTCCTAGAACCAATTCTCCATGGATGACTGCTGAAAAGGGGTTACTGTCCTATAGATGAAGTGATTAAGAGCATGGAGCCAGATTGGCTAGGTTTGAATCCCAATTCTACAACTTACTAGCAGTATAACTTGGAACAGGTTACTTAACTTCTCTGTGCCACAATTTCCTTATATGTAAATGGAAGATAAGAATAGTACATACTTGGTAGGGTTGTTGTGAGAATAATATGAATTAATACAAGTAATCACAATAAATGCTAGTTAACATTATTACTTAAAAGAACAAGAAAACGAATGAGAAAAAGACAAACACCCTTGCAGAAAAATAGGGGAAAGTCCAGGGTTAAGCAATTCACAAAAAAAGGAAATCCAAA